GTCTCCAAATCTCTCACCATGGTGCAAACATGAGTTACCATCCTAAAAAAATGTATCTAAAACCATCAACTTGAGAATTCCTTACTTTCCCAAATTCTCTCTTTGTCGTCCAAGATAGTGAGGCCCCTTTCCCTTTATAATAAAGTCCCTTTCCCTTTTAAAAAATAATAAAAATAATAAAACCAACAACTTAAGAGTTCAATCGTCAACACTCTGAACTCTCCTACAGCTATTTACTATAACAAGTGTAAATCAGGCTAACACAGTTGCCATTCAAAAAGAGGTAATTAATCATCTAATTATAAGGGATTAATTGAGGTATGTCTTTTTCAAAGTCAAAACTCATGTGACCAAATGAAGATTTGAGAGTATTTTCCGATTTCAGTATCTATGCATAGATTGTGCTAACTGTCTTTAAGTTAATAGAGAAAGTCTTTGAAAGGGCTGATCTTATCCTTCTTCTATGATACCAATTCGCTAAGATACTCTGTGGTTTGTTCAATATTTTTAGTATTCTCAGTGTCTCATAGTGACTTTTTTTCTTACCTCTCTAGATAGAATCATATTTATCTGTGACGCTTACAAGTTCCTATTACTTCTGTAATTTCTTTAGAAATATGAAAGATAAAGGCCACCCAGATAGCTCAGCGGACTAAGCACCTACATGGGCAAGCTCAGGGACCTAGGTTCAATCCCAGCACCACATGCCGTGCTGGCCCCACCCCTGGGCTAGCTGAGTCAGCCACTAAGACCAGGCATGGTGGCACACATCTGTAATCCCAACCCTGGGGAGGCTGAAAACAGGAAGTTCACTACAAGTCTGAGCTTTACAGTGAGACCCTGCACCAAATACATTTTAAAAAGAAGAAAAAAATATGAAAAATAAATCAAAAGCTAGTCTAAGATCTCTGTACTGCAACCACTGGAGATCTGCAGGGACAGGAGGCTTGCGAGATCGGAAGGACCCTTCTGTTGTCCATACGAAGATTGTGGCAGATCCTGTTTTCACCCTCATGCCCTCTAAGCTCAAGAAGGGCAAGCTTCCTCTTCTCCCTTTTCCCCACAGGCTTGGAGTCTGACAGTGAGGAGCAGCACCCTAAGTATGACCATACCTGGATGCCTCTGCAGCCAGCAAACTGCTTTGGCACTAACCCAGAGCTAATTTGTTCTGTGGGGAGAGAGGCAGGAGTGTGGGTAAGCAGGAAAAAAAAAATGAGGTCAGCTTTCAGAGCAGTCAACCAACTCTGCTGAGCTGGCCAGACTATGAACTACAAAATACCTACTGCACGGAGCTGTCCACCGTGGGAGACACTCCGTCTGGCCAGAGCCAGAGCCCCAGCCCGGGGTACCAGGATGACACAATCACAACGCGGGGGTACTGATTCATAGCTGGGCCCTAAATCTCTTTATCCCACAGAGATTTCCTCTGGTCCCTGTAACTGTTACTTGGGGAAAATGCATGAATTAGTCCGTTCTGAAGCTGGAGAGAGGCAATGAAACGAGTCCAGGACAGTCTCAAGTTGATGGCTTAGGTGAGTCATCTTTGGATCTACATTTAAGCCACATCAACCCACCTCACCTCCTGGGGTTGGATTCTCCGCCCCTGTTGCATGCCCTCACCTGTGCGCTTGTCTGCCTGCTCCACTGCGGCGAGGCCTGCAGGACAGGAGCAGGGTCTCCAGTCCTCGGTGCCCCTCCACCGGCTCACACAACAATGCCTAGCACTTGGCCAGAGCTTAAAACTACTGCCTGTACAAGAAATTTGCTTTTGTCTGAAACAGGAGAAAAGGCACGGAATTAATGCAAAAACAGAAGAAATACACTGCCAATCACTAACCTTCCTGTTAAGCAGCAGCCTCTAGATCTCTCCCTCTCACACAAATCTTCACCCTACTTGGAATATTTCTTAAGAGCTCCAGTTCCTCATCCTTCTGTGTGTGCTGGTACAAGAACTAAATCTTCTGCCTTGGGTCTTATATGGGTTCCAAAGGCTTTGGGGTGTGGCCATGAAGTTAGTCATCTGTGTAACATGAGTGTGGTACGTGGTGAAAGATGACCTGGCTGGAAGGATGTTCTCTTGACCATTTTATTCACAGTAGCAAAATCCTGAACTCTAACAGTTGATGTGTGGTTATATAAATTAGGATCCATGTATACAGTAGAGAATAATGAAATATTATGCTGCCATTAAAAATCAAATTTTAGAAATGCACATAATGGAATGGGAAACTATCCACTCTAGTAGATGAAAAACAGCCCATGGAATGGAGACTGGTCACAATTCTGCAATCTGTGAGTGTATGAAATCGCGGGAGGAAATATATCCAAATGCTCTGTGGTTTGTTTCTGGGCAATATGGACTTCTAAAAAAGTCTTATTTAAGCTTCTTCATATACCTTATTTTGTAACAAGTGTGTATCACCTTTTTAATTTTCAAAATAATATACAGGTATTTTTAAAAATATAAACACAAAAGAATATCATCCTACAATGAAAAAAAACCCTGGGTTGGGTAAACCCTGACCACTAACAGGCTGGCTCTTGGCTGTATTTCCGAAGGCTCATAAATTAACATCCTGGTCCCCAGAGTGGGGATTTAAGAGGTGTGACCCATTGGGAGGTGTTCAGGTCACTGAGGAGGCTTGTGGGATCTGAGGGATCCTTCTGGAGGAGGACTCTTGAGGAGGACTCACTGTCATCTACTCACTGTCATCTGCTCACACACAGGCTCCCCTCGTTACAGGCTGCCTCACCAAACAGTTATGGACTGGAACTCCCCACATGGGAAGCCAACACAACCTTTCCTCTCTATAAGCTAGTCACTGGTCATTTCTTACAGTGAAGGGAAGTTGGCTAAAACACTGTCCTAGGCAATTATCTTCAAGATTAAATGATAACACGCCCTACCATGCCTTAAGTGCCTTATTATATTTATACAAACCACATAGGAAATTCCATCCAACAGCAGCTCAGCTGCAGGTCAAAATAGGATTCCTTGTGTTCATTATGCCAGACCTGAGAAGGAGTCATATTAGGAAAGATGTTGACAGGAGACTGCTCAGTGGAAGCAAGGAACGTTGGAAGCAGCTACTGTAGGGCAACCCACTCTCCTGGGTGGGAAGAGGGCTGGTGCTGGTGTGGCACAGGTCATGTAGCCTGTGTATGTTATGTTTTAGGAACTACAAAGCACCCAGGAAATGAAGAGTTTGGTAACCTAAAAACTTCCTAAGAAAACGATCATCGCTTCACTTTTTCTTTCAAGACATCAGGAGACACAGTCTATGTTCTTCTCAAACTCTCTAGAACAGTCATCGGGAATTTCATCAGCCACATTTAACTCATTTGATGCTCCCCTGTACCACTAGTCCATACGACAAAACTGTCATGTACTTGCTAACCTATTTTTCTCCTAGGTACCAGGGTAGGTTGGCTTTTCAGCTTCCTCTGAAGGAAAGTGGGGCTAGGACATAGGACTCTTGTCACTTAAACGGGGATGGAAGGAAGTCTTTCTGGGCCAGGCTGGGCCTCCAAATTGCCCTGTGAGAGCCTCCATACTCTCTCTTTCCTCATTGCTTGGATGACTACAGAATATATTACGAGGGACTCCGAGGGCTCCAGCAGACAGTGACATATTTAATGGAAGAAATTTGAGTCTCTACCTCACCAGAAGCCAGCCACTCTGTAGAAGGGTACAGACAGCTGGGAAATCTCATGAGAGTTTTAGTGCCACCTCTTACACCAATTATTTCCTCAGGCAAAGATACCCCATGAGCACAGTCACCTCTGAACCCCAGTGACAGTCATCACTCTCTGTTACACCCCATCCAAATGACACAGGTGGCAAAGGCCAGCCCTCATCCAACAGAAAACTCACCCAAGAAAAATCAGAACACATTCTCTGGTAGATTTAAGACCTGCTTTCTCAGGGCCAGCCAGATAGCTCAGTAGATTAGAGTGCCTGCTTAGGCAGACCCAGGGACTGGGGGTTCAATCCCTGACATGCTGTACCAGGCCCTCCCCCAGGGCACACTGAGACAGAGATTGAAACTGGGTGTGGTGGCGTGCACTTGTAATCCTAGTGCTTGGGAGGCTGAAAACAGGAGAATCACTTCGAGTCTGATCCACACAGTGAGACCCAGTAGACCCTCTACTAAATACATTTTTTTTTAAAAAAAAAAAAGACCTGCTTTCTCATTCCTGTGGGGAGACATGGAGATATAGACATATTTAAATCAAGGAAAAGAGAAAAACTCTTTTGGTCACCTAAGCCGAACAAAATGTAAATTTCAGATAGAAAACAGCTAAGGTCTGTTAAGGTAAGAAGGGTCAGGAGAGGCATCTACACTTTCTGGGAGCACAGTGCTAACACAGGTTGCTGTATTCATTCTTAGTGATGTCTGGCCCTACCAACAGGTTGCATTAAAACCATGATTTTAGTGATGTACCATATTCTTTAGTTCAAAACTCTCTCACTCATTTGTCTTAATTTTTAAAATCTGCTAGTAAGCAAAACAATCCCTTATCATATATGAGACATTAGACTGTGTGTCTTACCTACATTACATTATTTCATTCTCCCTACTGAGAATCTTATAAAATCATAATTGAGAGATTTGGACCTAGATTTAGGCAAATCCTGTGTGTAAGGTCAAACTGTAGAGAAGTGGACAGGTATTTCCAGGCTTAACTGGCATCCTGTACTCCTAACTGCCACAGCATGCATTAGACCTGATGGCTGTGGCACACTTGGCACTGCTCGGAGTGACACAGTCTCTCAGGAAGGAGCTACTGAACGGGCAGAGAGCAGGCAGGAGTGGAAGGCATACAAGATGCAGTCCCATAGTGGGTTGGCCTGGCTGCTGACAGAGTTGTGGGGTCACATGGATTCACTAGGGTCCAGGCTGGGGAGCTCCCGGGAGAAGGGCACAGAACAGAGTGCTGCCAATTTCTCTTCCATGACTCTAGCCAACTCTGCTCTTCCTTGCTTATGAAGAACTTACCTGGTAGGGGTACAAGGTGACTCCATTGGTTCTTGAAAGAGACCAGGTGCCATCCAGGTACTGGTGGGCCTGAATGGCCACTGCGTTGGGGATGTTCCCATTGCTGGGACTGGTGGCCATCTGGAGGCTGACCTTGGCAGGGTGGGTGGGGGACCCATTCTTCTTTTCTGCCCCATTGCTGACCCCAAGGCTGCTGGGTTTGCTGCTGTGCTTGTTGACAAGGCCTGTGTAGTTGGAGCTGGCATAGGCGGCGGACACAAAGGCCCAGTCCCTGGGCTGCTGGAGCCCTCCGCCCAAGTGCCGGGACCCAACCAGGGCGGGCATGTTGGAGAGCGCAGGAGGCGAGCCAGGTGAGGCGTCATAGTGCTCGCTGCCAGCCGCCTGCTCCAGCGTCAGCACCATCTGAATGGCTTCTTGCTTCAGCTGGTTCAGGTGTGTGGCACAAATGTCACAGCGGTTATCTCGGTCATTCCATGCCTTTCGGATGGTGTTGGGGACCTGAAGCTTCTCATGAATCACAGCTGAGAAAGCAGGGTCCTGGAGAAGACACAAGCAGAAAAGGGAGAGACTGTAATTGAAGGCCGGTCAATGCGACGCAGAGGTCCGGTTGACGAAGGAAGACCCGGATGTACCCAGAGTCGGACCGCTGTGCACCCAGCAGAAACAGAAGCCAGATGGGCAGAAGAATCTATTGTTCTCCACTACTGACAAACAGACTTGAAAAACGTAAAAAATTTTATAGTGAAAACTTTAAAGAAGCCACAAAACAAAACACAATTTCTGAGTATTTCACCAACCAGACAAATAATGTATCTGCTAAAAAATTACAACCACTCTGAGTCCCTCCCAACAACTGAACCAGAAGGACACCGGTGTCCACTGGGCACAAGAAGAGCTGAGTGTAGCTGCTGTGATCCGGGCACTGGGACCCCAAGCTCCTGTTTTCCCCCAGAAGCTGGAAGTTGGTAGTGAGTATAAGACTGCTTGTGACCAGGAACAGAGATTCTATTCTAGGAAAACCTTGACCTCCTCAGCGTGCATGCTAAATAGCACTGGAGGAAAACTGGCCATGCCTGCTGGCTCTGGAGCGCGTGCAGCTTGTGCTAGAGTCCCTGCAACCCTCTACAGCTAAGCTCGTATTTATCAATTGCCCTGGGGCAAAGTGGCCACGTCTGTACCCATGTATTTCATTTTCTGACCCATTCCAATAGTCTGAGTTACTTTTCCTCAAAACTTCACCTAAAACTTCTCTTAAATATCTCAGTGTGGGGTGCAGTGCTGTGAGTTCATAGTCCCAGCTCTTCTGAAGGTTAAGATAGAAAAAACTCACATGAAGGCAGGAGTTCAAGACTAGCCTGAGCAATATACCGACACTCTACAATCCACCCATACAATACACTTCAGCTCCGCGGTCAACATCTAAAAATGAGTTTAATGAGGATGTTTTATATCACTGTACTTTTTATAAGAAGGTAAGGTTACCCAGCTCGGCCAGTTACAACCTTGGGGTTCTATGTGACCTTGGACAACTACTTTCACCAAATCTCAGTAGGCCATAGCTTATGCCTGTTATAACATCTCAGTCCCACAGCTGTGCCAGGGGGGACACTGGGACAGGAAAATACAGTACCTACATGCATGGACAGAGCCAGTGTAGCAGCTTGGGGCCTGGCTGAACTACTGAGCTTCAACAGCTGCTGTAAATAATCGAGGAGGCCCGTTCTCAAGGACCATCGCCCTCTTGGCCACTAGGAGAAAATCTGCCCTTCTAAAATGTGCTGTCAGCTTTCATGGAACCCAAGCCCATCCAAGGCGGATGAGGTGCAATGAGTTGTGGATAAGGAGCGTGGAGTAGGGCAGCCAGGGTGGGCAGGAAGATCTCCAGTGGGAGGATGATTCTTAATTACGATCCATCTTGATTATGGGCTCCAGCATTTTGTTTTCCCTGTTTAACTACCCTGAAAAGCTCCTCAGCATGCACAGATTAATTGATTAATAAATCAAGAGGCCTCTTTCTCCAGCAGAAGCAAGGCCCGGCTCAGGAGGTAGAAACTCAAGACAGTCGTAAAATGATGAGAAACAATAGAAAGTCAAGGTTGATCGAGTCTCAGTTGGCAAAGTGATGTGAACCATGTGGGACTCGCCTTGTGGCATCCTTCTCAGTGACAGCTGCTCTCTGTCCAGCTAGTCCCTGAACATGACTCAGAGCACATGGGAGCCGAAACACACCGTGAGGACCATTCTACAGCAGGCCACACCCTACAGCAGTCTACAGAAAAGAAACAGCTCCGAAGGGGTTAAAAGTTTAGCCTGCACCAGATGTCTTGACCACTGGCCCATGGTTTTTCACCTCAAGAGCCAGGTGGCACATCCAGCCAGGTAGACTCATATTTTTTGCGTAGATATAAAGTCCTACGGGAAATACTGATTTGTTCAGAAGGAACTTATTTGGCCTCTATAGATGCTAAGATATAGTTTATTGCTTTTTCATGTAACATTACATAATGAAAAGTTTCCCTACCAATGAATGCTTTGGGAAAATGTTATTTTTAATGACCATTTGGTATTTTATCCTTTGGCTGCTCCGTAGTTCACTTATTTATTCTCACATTCACTGTATAATTTAATATAATGTGAGAAATCACAAAAATGGCATTTAAATACAATTCAGGCAATGGCGCATTTTTCAAACCACCAAACTATACTGTATCAGGAAGCCTCCAACACACTGCTTATTTAAAATATTTTTGTTAACCCAATCATATAGGAGAGGTTCCAGAGTGAGGAGGAAGCTGTGGGATGTCTCATCCACACATCCCGATCTTTAGATTTCAGATGGCACCCTTAGACCCGAGATTTTACTCCGGTAAGGCCATGTGTCCACTGCACAGGAGCTGCAGGAGCCATATGTGATGCCGAGAGCTCCTTCCCTGTTCTCCTCTTGGCTTGCACCACACTCCCCCTTGAAGCAGTCCTTCTTTATTGAGCTTATTACTAGTTGTTCCTTGGCTCCCACCATCTAACAAATACACATGTTTTCTTCCAACATGCCCGGCAGCGCTCCAGGCTAGGGACGTGAGGAAACAGGAATGAATGACACCCTCTGGGAGTTCACAACCAGGAGGGCTTCCTGGTTCCTGGACAACCCTGTGCCACGTCCTTCTGCTTTAACCTCTCATTCAGACTCTAGAGACTCCCAGGACCACTCAAGGAGACACAGCACAGAAGCCAGAACCCTCTCTGGGTCACTAGACATCAAGAGCTCCTGCTCTCCACGGCTCTTTTCCATTCACTCATGTGCCAGCCAAAGCCAGACCCACAACAGCCATCAAAGCCATCCCCAAGGACCACTATTGAGCCTCCCACCAATATGGTATCTGCAGAGAGTCCAGTGTGGTTCCTGGACGAGGAAGCTGACACTGATTCTTTAATGAGGATACAATTTGTGGACCATGTCAAAGAAGTGTTCTCTAAATAAAGCAAGCCTGGACCCAAAAGCCTATGGCAGTTCCTATCATCAAAGGGCTTCAGGAAGTAAAGAGAGGCATCTTAAGGAAGCCAAAATGCTTTTCAAGTGCTTGTCCACATATTATAAATATTTCAGCACAACTCAAATCTTCAAAGAGAAATGGTCAACAGATACAGCTTTCTGTAAGTGCTGAAATAAAAAAGGATACCGCTTCAAGGGAGAAAAGTAATAAACAGGAAGGAAAAAAGGAGCATTCAGAGCCATGGATAACAAATATAGACTGTGTTTTCATGACATGAAAACAAAAAGGGCCACAGTAAGCCCAGGAGATGAATGACGGAAACACATTCTGGGTCAGGTGACCTGTAGAAGGGAGGAACTAGGCACTCAACTGGGCATCCTGCCTCCCCCATGAGTTGCAAAGACCTTTTTACTGTCTGATCCATCCTGTGACCTCAGCAAACAGTCAAGTGGAGCAGCAACCTGACCCCCTATTTCTTATTAAACTTTTATTTTTTATTAGGACATGTTCGTAGGACATAATGATCACATTCCTCCTGGGGAGTTGGCACATGTACATAACAGTTCCTTTTTCATGCCTTTCCTCCCTTCCCTCCCCACTCCGTCCATCTCGTGGCAGTGTCCCAATATTTACTTCAGCACATGTAAAAATTGGGCTAGTGGCACTTGAGCATTTTCATCCTAAATGTTTAGGTCCAGAGGTTCTGTACTCAAAATTCTCTCAATTTGCGGAATAACATACTCATCTTTGCTCCATTTGTTCCATGAAAAGAAATTTTACAAGACACATAGAAAACTGGAAAGTTAATCAGAAGTAAGGTCAGGGTAAATGCAGACCATCTTAAGACCTGTAAGTCTGCCCAATTAATGATTGCTGCAAAAGAACAAACAAAATTCCATATGGTGGCTTTCGAATCCCACTCATGCTCTCTGCTTCTTCTAGGAGCATTTCAGCAAAACAGGGTCCTCTGCCATATTCCAGATGGTTTGCTTATAGTCTAGCAACTGTCTTAGCTTGGTTCATACATCTTCTTGCAGAGTTCACTCCCCTGGCACTTGTGTCCAAGCCCATGGCTTCCTGACTGGCCCTGCTCTAGTGACCTGGAATTTGCTCTCCCAGTCTCTGCCTGCTTCAGATCTCAAGTCCTCTCAACAACATCACTTAAAAATTTCCAATTAATTTTCTTTGCACCTAAACCTACTCTCCTTCCAGTAGTCAACAGCCAAGTGGATAGTATCATTACTCCTTTATCTTTGCAGCTGATCACCCAATTCACCAGATGATGTTTCCTCCAAAGTCTTAACCTGCCCCTGTTCTCCAAGCCCACAGCCATGTTGATGAGCTTACCATTTCTCTCATCACCAGGATCTCCCCAACTCTAGTTTTAACCTCATTCCTATCTCCCAAAATGATTTAACTAAACTACAATTCTGATTATGCCAATATTCTGCATTCTAAATCACCATCAAAAGGGCTACTGTGTTGTCTGTAAAATTATTTCTCTATTAGACTCTCGGTTCCTTAAGGAAAAATATGGTTCTTTTCTGTTTTTAATTTCCTAAGTGTCTAGAATAGTGCCTAGTAAGTACTAAGGTTTCAATAGGTACTTGTGAAATGAATAAATGAATGATTCAACCCAGGTGAACAGTGAACTATTAGGCATTCTATGTCTATTCATTTTTTTCCCCAAATGAGTTACTTTGTGCTACAATGTGAATTTTAAATGTCTCTCAAAGTCCCACGTATTTGTAAAGACTTGATCTACTTGAAAGAAGTGGTATGTACTGGAAAGAAGTGGGGCCTCAGTGGGCAATCTTTAGGTCATGGGGCCATGGCCTTTCAGGGGCTTGTGGGATCCCAATTCTTCCTCTCCCTATCTTTTTTGTTTCCTGGCCCTCTTGCGATCAGTTTTACTTCCCATTTTTAGCATCCAAACTGCCTACTAGAGGCCTAGAAGCAGTGAGTCCACCTGACCATGGACTAGAGTCTATAAACCATGAGCCATAAAAAAACCTTTCTTATAAAAGTTGATTATCTCGAGTATTA